TAACTTTGTTAGTCTCTAAGGTGCCACAAGTACTCCTGTTCTTTTTGTGGATACAGACTAACACGGCTGCTACTCTGAAACCTGACAATAAAGAGTTATAGCAGCAGACACAGATGATTGAGACAGACAGCCCTAAACCGTTGACAAGTGGAAGAATAGAGAAAAAAATGTACTAAAATATAAAGGTTAGGGTCCTTAGTTCAGAGCTGGAGCAGAACTGAGGTTTTCAGAAAGTAAGCTTTATCAGTGAGATGTCTGAGTGTTATAACATAGGAAGTGTCTCAGAGCTAACTGCAGCAAAGTGGAGGAATTGAAAGGAAGATATTTGGCAGGTGAAAAGTATGTCCTCATTTAAAACCAAGGAGGGATTATATTCATTATTCTCTAGCTACAACTCAGGAAAAAAAGCATGAAAAAACCCAAACAAAAAAGATTTCTCCCCAAAGCCATAGAAGCCCTAACATGTTTTGATTTTGTACATTCACTTTTCTGATGAACTGATTTACCGTTTGTGGAAGACTGTGATACCCAAGTTAACATTTACAGCTTTTTTATTGTGGAATGGTGGGGAGGTAAAGTTCTTAATTTCATCTTGATCACTGGATCCCTTTCCCGCCATACCCTTGCCTAATATTGATGGGGAACCCTGAAGCATCTTAATGGGCCCTTGCTTTTCTGTCTTAGTTGTTTATATGGCTACCATTATCATAGCGAGGTAAGGAAGTACTATTATCACCATTTTACAGAGAGAACTGATCAACAAGTAGACTAAGAATCCAACATTGTTCAGGAAGACTGTGGCAAAGTACAGAATTGTGGCAAAGCACAGAATTGAACGAAGACCTCCTAAGTTCCAAGCTAGCATCTTAACCACTGAACCATCCTTCTCTTTAACATCATCTCCCAAGATCAAAGACAATTAAAGGTCACTCATCATTAACAGTTTCTCTCTGACTAAATAGAAGATTCTATTAGAGATTAAATTGTTTCAGAAATTACTATCAGGCAACTGAGCTATTATGTCAAGTATCTGAAGAAGTGAGGTTCTTACCCACGAAAGCTTATGCTCCCAGTACTTCTGTTAGTCTCAAAGGTGCCACAGGACCCTCTGAGCTATTATGATAGTTAATATATTTTTCAATACCAAGGTTACATCACAGCTCAGTGGTGGGAGGAACAGCTTAAATTACCAAAAGTGTAACATGTACATTAGTGTTTTCATCACAACTTATCTATTGGGTCTGTTCATGCATGAATAAAGTATGAAGACACATTTGAAATATTTTGAAAGAATGGAGTCTAGATATGCACCAGAATTCAAACTTATAGCGCTAATCCTCCCTACATTTGATTTCGATTTCTTTTTTTCTTGACAAAAAGAATTCTTGTACAGGTCCAATTGTCCTTGCGTCTATCACAGGCCAGTGTAAACTGTCAGCTAATCAATTTCTACACCTTGTGTTATATTTATATTCCACAGCTAACATGATACAATGCAAAATAAGTTTAAGTTACTTTACATATTGTAACCCTAACACTGTTTGATAAATAACTCCAAAGACACTAATTTAACAAATTACTACTATATGTTTTACATATTATTTATGAAATACTCCAGAGTTTGCACGATAAGAAGTGATGGAAATTACATTTCACAGATACCAAATAAAGCTTAATTAAAGAGAGTTTCTTACGTGCTGAATTGTTAAAGCACAGTTGCTATGAATATGGAACGTGATGTGTGCATCAGCAATCAGTTTGCAGGTGCTTCACAATTTATCTTCATGAAGCATCAGCACATACAGTACCTGACCTATTCCTTATTGCGACCTCCACTGTGCCCTTTATTTTAAAATATGCACAGGTGAAATCTAATTGGTTTTCAGGATTTGCTTGAATACACTTTCGGTAAGCAGTTTTACTAAACAAACTCTTTCCCCCAACCTTCCCTTTCTGTTTACAGAGCAAGAGGTTTCTACCAACACATCCCAGGAAGAAGGCCGTGGCCGGGCGGGTGGGCTGGAGAAAGGGCCCCGCCCAGAAGGGTCCCCAAGAAAGGGGCCGGGTAGGAGGGAATCCCCCAGCGGAGGAGGCCAGGTGGCCGGGCTAGGGAAGGGGGCCGGGCTGGAGGAGATCCCCCCAGGGAATGGGTCTGAGTCCAAGCGGGCTGGAAGGAGCTGGGCCTGAGAGGTCTCCCCCCACCCCGGATGGCTAGCGCCAGGGAGCGGGCCAGGCTGGGACGGAGAGCCCCGCAGTACCTGTTATTGCGGACGCTGTTCAACACGCACAGCACCAACTCCAGGTAGGTCCTCAGCAGGTCCAGCCAGCGGGGGCAGAGCGGGGTCTCCCCCTCGGCCGCGGCCGCCGCCCCCTCGCAGACCCCGCCGCCGCCGGGGTAGTTGTCGGCGGCGAACTGGACGCGCAACTCCCGCACGAACCAGCCGCACTTGCGCATGAGGAAGTCGAGGCGCGGGCGCTCGGCGGGGGAGACGCGGAGGCTGAGGCGCAGCCGGGGCCACAGGGCCGGGTAGAAGAGGCACTCCCGCCAGTGCGAGCAGGCGGCCGAGGCCCGCAGCCGGTCCGGGCCCGCCAGGAACGAGAAGATGTGAACCACCAGCTCGCTGGGCAGGGAGCCGGCGCCCACCGCCTCCCCGCACACCGCCATGCCTGGCGCCGGCCCGAGCCCCGCTGCTGCAGCCCCAGGCCGCGGCCTCGCCTCCGCCTCCTGCGACAAAAACAACAACATCAATGACTAGGCGGAGGGGGCGGGGGCCGGCCGAGACTCGGCTACTGCCGGGGCAAACCACTGCACCCGGCCGCGGGGGAGGATGGTGCTTACCACCGAGCTCGAGGGGGTGGGGAAGAATGGATCCTACCAATTAACTCGAAGAGGGGGTTGGCACCTCGTCTAGACCCAGCTCTGCGGATTGTGGATGCTACCACTGATCTAGGAATGGGGAGGAAGGAACCTACCACCTCTCTCAGAGTGGGAAATGGAACCTACCTCTAGACTGAGCTGTGGGGGAGGATGGAACATACCACCAAGCCCACCTGTGGGGAGGGGGACAGGCTAACTCCCTCCAGAATCAGGTCTTGAGGGGGAGAGATCATCAGACTTGCACAGTCCACTGTGGACCTGCACGCCAGCCAGAACAACCAGGGCTGATGGCATCATAGCAGGCATCACAGTGAGATTCCCAGGTCTGGCTCGCTCAATCCTGCAAATCCATGAATCTCTGGGGCAGCCCCACAGGCAATGCCAGGTAGGGTTAAGGTATGAACCCCTTTGCGCATCGAAGGAAAGCATGGTGTGCTTGGGTGTCTTTGTTCATCTGGGAGACATGATGGAAGAGCATGCAATGCTGCTTTTGAATGTAGTGAGTGATTTAAGGAAGGCCAGATATCTGTGAGGTTATGGCATTTTGCACAAAATTGAACCACTTTATGCTCAAGATTTGGTGCTGACAGAGCATATAGAATGCATCTAACTGGTCCAAGTATACTTGTAAGAGAGTCCAGGTTTCTGACCCATGTAGCAATACAGGTGGAACACAGGTTAGATCCTAAAGTTTGTCTCAGTGCAGAGACATTTTTGTTCCCATAAGCAAGACATGGACTTCATGCAGGAAGTATTAAGACCAATTAATCTGAGGACATCAGGTTTACTGCAACCATTTGAACTCTGCTTGCAGCCTAGTTACGTGCTCGACCGCACATGCACCAGGGGTTCTAGTGGTTCAGCTCCGAAGTTGTGGACCTCAGTCTTCTGCATGAGATGTTCAACGCCATAGTGTGGGAAGCATCTTGGAAACCTTGAAAGACAGGGCTGAAATTCTCTTGCTTCACAACAGGCAGGACAACACCATCTTCATAGTCTTGGTCAGTGAACACTTTTTGATCAACCTTGATTCTGATGTTTGGTGTGGCAAGTCCTAATGTCCAGTCAAAAGCTTGACAGAACAGTGCTGGGGCAAGAATACATCCCTGCCACATATCTGAAGTTGTGTAGAAACATGGTGAAAGCTGTGAACCAACACACACTCTTGCACCAGTACCGATGTGAAGATTGTGCACCAGATTTATCAGAACATCTGGGACGCCAACTCTCAGTGTAAGCCAAATTGCTGACCTGTCAGCCAAATAATAAGCTACTTTGATGTTGATATATGCCACGAGAAGTGGGCCAGTAAATTCTCAGTGCAGCTCAGCCAGAAGCTGGAGTGTAAAGACAGCATTTACTGTCAATTGCCCAGCAGTGAAACCTGTTGCTGTGGATGGATAATGTTGCCTTTTAAGAAGAGGCTGCATCCTACCAAGCAGAAAGTTAGCTAAGATCTTTCCAGAGATTGATAGCAATGAGATCAGTCTGTAATTGCAACACTCAGTGCAAGATCCTTTACCTTTGTACAGGGACACTATGATGCCATTTTTCCATTCTGTTCGTAGTCTGCCTGATGCCCACACTTTTAAGAACAGTTGATGTGGGGTCAGTGCTCACTTGTTCCAGCTTGGGTGGAATGCCATCAGGTCTAGCAGAGGGAGAAAGGGAATTATAAAGTCATAGAGTTCAGGGAGGTAAGTTGGTAAAGAACCTGTCATCACACCCATATTGGAGGGACGGGAACTACAATAGAACTCATAAAGGGGAATGGAATCTGTCTTCTGCATGAGGAACCTTATCTCTGACATTCTCTAACTTTTAGGTGCTAGACTTTACAGACTTACCATTCTTTTAACATAGCTTTTTATATCATTTACATATTTATATTGACCAATCACACTCAAAACTGAGTGTATCAAGTACTACTAGCTCCTCACTGATCCCAGAAACAGAACTTAAAATGTATCTCCTAACCATCTTTTTAATTCACACAATCGTCAATGGCATGCCAGGAGGGGAGAAGGAACTGTCAGTACTTGGCTGTTTGTCCTGAAATGTAGGTTGTGGAGGAGATGTGGCTGAGTCTCTTATTTTATCTGGATTGTAGGGGGAACCACCAGAGGGACAGATCTTCCTGTAGAAGAAAGATGTCAGATATGGAACTCCCAATATGAATAATTAATGTCTCATTGGGTATTGGAGGTATTCCATGTATTCACAGGAAAGACTTGGAGCCCCATAAAATACTCAGCCAGGCACCAGCTCTTCACGCTGTTCACAATGCAGATTCTTCTACCAGATGAGTTCTCAGTTCCCTAGCCAGTGAAGTGGTAGGCAGGTAGACAGCTCTGGAGCAGGATAAGAATGGATTCTCCCTCTAATTTTATCAGAAGGGAAACTGTGCTCCCACACACTCCCACTTATTTTAATATCAACTCTAGATTGCTGGGTTGCCACAGGTCTTTGTAAGGTTACTAATTAATTGACCAAAATGTCAGTCTTGGTGTAATAGTATCTTGATGTAATAGTATCAAAGCAGAAAGGTTACTAATTAATTGACCAAAATGTCAGTCTTGGTGTAATAGTATCTTGATGTAATAGTATCAAAGCAGAAAGCTTTATGAACTTGTTGGCTCAGCTCCTTTAGACTGCTGGGCTGATGTGAAGGCAAAGGTGTGTGTGAGGTTACTGAGTGGGATGCTGGTTACTACTATGTTGGCATGATGTCAAAGGATAGGCTGTTACATGGCCACTTACTCAGCAACTCTAGTTTACTAAGATGATGTTAAGTCTCTGGCTATTTAACTGAACACCTCCAGCTTGCTGGTCTGATGTAAAGGGGCAGGTCTCTGGGAGGTAAGGTCACTGGCTCAAAAGCTACTGTTTGATGGGCTAATATCAAGGCTCGGACTTCTATGATATGATGGGGCAGCATCTCTAGCTTTCTCCATGTCTGTTGAGGCCCATTCCTTGGTGAGCTAACTGTCCCAGTCCCTCTAGCTGTCTAGTATATCAAGGCAGAAGACTCTCTAAAGCTACTGACTCAGGATCTGTAACTTGCTGGTCTGATAAAGCACAGCTTTCTGAGAGCTCTTGGTTCTTGACATCAACCAGGAGGGTCACTGCCTCAGCTCCACTGATTGGGCTGATTTTGGGTCAGAGGCTTCTGTGAGGGTTACTGACTTAGCAACTACAGATTGCTGGAATGATGACAGGTGAAAAGCTCTGTGAGGCCCTAGCTCAGTATATTTAGCTCAGTTGCTTGATGTTAGTGGACAGGCCTTTGTGAGGTTACTGATTCATTTCCTATAGCTCATTGATCTGGTGTCAAGATAGATTGTTTTTGCTGAGCCAGTGAATTCACACTTCTAGCATATTGGGCTGATGTCAAGGCACAGGTGTCCACAAGATCAGTAACTCAGCATGTGAAGCTTGTTGATAAGGCTCAGCCTCTTTGAGATTGGTAGTTCTGCAGCTTTAGCATGCTGAGCTAGTGTCAAGGCTACAAGGGCCATTGTTTCATAAACTCTGTATTACTGGGCTAATGGCAATATGCACGTTTCTATGAGGTTTCATATTCAGTACCTCTAACTTGCTGGGCAAAAGCTAAGTTACGAGCCTTTGCAAGGTTATCTGCTCATCCACTCTAGCTTCGTAGGGCTGTGTGAAGACGTGCATTTTTGAGTTCACTGGCTCAATAACCCTAATTTGGTGAGCTGCTGTAAAACCACAGGTTTCTGTGATTTGCTCACTGCAAGTACTGGCTCAGCATTAGTGGTGAAGGCAGATCAAAATAGGAATGGGAGCGCAACAATTTGTGGTTTCATGTGTGTTAATATGTGGTGAAATGACATTCCATCATAAAAGATGATGTACTGTATGATGAGAGGAAGAATGGTCCAGTAGTTAGAGTACCAACCTGGGATTCAGGAGACCCAGTTTAAATTCTCTATCCTGCTGCAGTCTTCCTGTGACACCTTGGGCAGTTTCTCATCTGTAAAACAGGGATAATAGTACTTCCCTACCTCCCAGCGGTGTGGTGAGGATTAATATATTAAAGACTGTGATGCATATCAAGTAGTAGCTGCTAAACACAAAAATGTATCCTACTGGAAGGGAGGGATAGTGGGAAGCAGCAGGCTTTCTCCGTCCAACAGAGGGGGAGTCCTCAACAGGGACATTTCTTCCTTTAGTAGAAAGGCATACAGGAGACTTCCAGCTTGGACAGTTCTCCCATCAGGCACTGGTGCTAGTGGTATTACTATTCATTATTTGTATTACTGTAGTGCCTAGGAGCCCTATTCATAAACCAGGCCTTTGTGCTAGGCATTGTACAAACACAGAAAAAGACAGCCCCTTCCCCAATCTAAGTAAAAGAGATAGCAAATGGATACAAACAGAATGGAGAGTACAAAGAAACAATGAGATAATATTGGTTACAGGCAGCAGTCACTGGTACGGATAAGACTGCTTGGAGCAGTATAAACTTATGAACAAGGCACCAGCACTATTTTGGATGGCCTGAAGGGGAGCAAGTTGAGTAACGGAGAAGATTGCAAGCACAGAAATGACAAACTGGGTTGGGGGTGGCAGAAGAGAAGAGACTAAGTTTTGGGTCCTTCGGTGTTTCTAGCAGGTGTGTTTATCATGAGTCTTGTGATATTGGGTGACTTTCTTAAAGCCTCTGCTTCTGGAGTCACGTGATTATGAAAATCTCAGCTTTAATTTAAACAAAACCACCCAACCCTGAGCCTCTGGCCCTCCTGGTTACAGAGAAAAACTGGAAGATGGGAGCTCTAAAGAACAATGTAAATAAAAGAACCCATCTTGTATTATTTGTTAGCAGCTCATGATTTTGGGGGTTGGGACTCATGACTGTCATACACTGGAGCTGTCTGGGACACTGTCTGACAGGCTGGTGAAAGAGCGCTGGGACAGGTTTGGCAGCAGAGTTCCCGCAGGGCAGGCTGAGTGCAGGCAGCCCATTTCCCAGGCCACGCGGAGCAGGAGGGATCTGGGCTGGGCTACCCGAACCAGGCTGAGAAGGTGGCCGCAGAACCTGGGCTGGCCCCAGGTAGGGTTGCCAGGCCTCCGGTTTTCAACCAGAATGCCCAGTGGAAAAGGGATTCTGGCATCTCCCGTGAGCACTGCTGACCGGGCTGTTAAAAATCTGGTCAGCAGCGGGGCTAAGGCAGACTCCCTGCCAGCCCTGGCTTTGCGCAGCTCCCAGAAGTGGCCAGCATATTCAGTTCATAGGCGCAGGGGTGGCCACGGGGGCACCACACACTGCTCCCACCCTGAGCACTGGCTCTGCAGCTTCCCAGCTAATGGGAGCTGTGGGGGCAAGGCCCATGGGCACGGGCAGTGTGCAGAGCCCCCTATAGCCCCTCTGGCTCCAATGCTGGCCGCTTCTGGGAGCTGCCTAAGGTTAGCACCATCTGGAACCCGAACCCCCAGCCCTGAGCCCTCTCCCAGAGCCTGCCCCCAAACTTCCTCCCAGAGCCCACACTCCCTCCCAAACTTCAACCCCAGCCCAGAGCCCCCTCCTGCACCCCAGACCCCTCATCCCTGGCCCCACCCCAGAGCCTAGATCCCCAGTCAGAAGCCTCACCCCTTTTGCACACCAATCCCCTGCACTCCCAGCCCAGTGAAAATGAGCGAGCCACAGAGGGAGGTGGAATGGAATGAGCGCGAGCAGGGCCTGGGTGTTCGGTTTTCTGCAATCAGAAAATTGGCAACCCCAGAGTGGAGGGGCAGGGAGACCACGGCGGCGGGAGCAGGGTTAACGGTCCCACCGACACCGGCATTCTTGGTATAGGCAGCACCACAGCCGCGCCCGGGGTGCGTTCTGGGTCACGGGGGCGATGTGATTCCCCCGTAGAAGAGGGGCTGGCCCAGCGCCAGAGCTATGGGGCTCTAGGGCCCCATCCTCGGCTCCCTTTCTCCCGCCCAGTTGGGAACCGGAACCGGATGTGGTACCTCCCCACGGGTCATAGAATTGAGGCCTTAGCCTGCCTGGAAAATCGCCCAAACCATAGAGCTGCGGAACGCCTTGGCATTTCCGGCGAGGGCTCGCGTCACATCCGTGCGGTTCTGAGATGCCGGTAAGAATTGTGGGGGGAGTCAGAAGGGGGAGGGGGGTCCTAAATGGGGGAGGGGGGGAGTTCACGCGGATCAATCCCTTCCCCGGGGCTCTGCTGCTCCCCCGAACCCGGGGGCTCGCGCGGGGCGGTACTGGTCCCGTTCCCTTGCTCGGGGGCTGGAGCCCCCCCCCCGCGGGGCTGAAGCTGGGGGTTGGGGGCTCAGAGGGGAACACACCCGGCAGGTAGCCGCGCTGAGGGGGAGCCTGCCCCGGTGGGGGCGGGGTGGGAGTGCGTGTGTGCCGGGAGCCCCCCATTCCCGGCCACCCAGCTGTGCCTTTGGGTCGTGGGGCCTCCCTCGGTTCCGTCCGGCCTGGCCTCGGGCTCTCCCGGCCTGTCGCTGCCCACCTGTCTGTCTTCATGGCGTTGGCTTATTTCGCCCGCCAGCTGCTCTGGGCTGTGAGACTGGCTGTGGTGCTGGTGTGTGTAACACTGATGCCAGGAAGGGTCATAATGAAATCTCAGACCGCTTTGGAAGGGCGGCAGTAGGGACCCGGGCTTCTTCGCTCCTGTAACTTAACCAGTGCAACTTGGTTGGTCGTAGCTTATTTCACTGGGTGTGATTGCCACTGACCAATGAATGACTCAGCCAAGTCTGCAGTTTGAAAGGCAAAGGGGATCTTAGAACATGAACAAAGTACCAGGAGCCCCCTTGAAGCTTTAATTCCTGTTTTTATTTATTATGATTATTTACTTATTAAGTTCAGAGTGGGCTTGTCACTGTACAGTTAGTACAAGACATGGCCTCTGCCTAGAGCATCATACATCTGGACAGACAACCCATGGGGAGTCCTACAGAAGAGCTCTATCATAATTTCTGTGCTGATCCAACCTAGAATGGGAACTTGTGTTTTTTCAGACCGTTATGTTTTTAGGTCTTGCAGGAAGCTGTAATATTGATGGAGCAGGAGAACTGGAGATAATATTTTCTTGCTGATTCCTATCACTAGTATCGGAGCACTTTCCAGAAATGGGAACAAAAATATATCTAGCTTCCTTCCTAATCTGTAGAAAAAATAGCATGATTAATTTATAGGTGCAGTGTGTATGAGAACTGAGGTGAAATTAAATCAAAACATCTGTGAATATTAGGGACTTTTTGACAATCAGAAAACAGATGACTTTTTGGGAACAGGTGGGCAGAGTTTCTTGATTATGGAATTTCGTTCCACCAAAAATCTGAATAAGCCCAGATGTTCTCAACAGCCCCTGAAGAATGGCCCCGGAATGCTTCTCTGTATATAAGCAACAGAAAGTACTGCTTTTTAAATTCTGTGTAGTCTTAAATTAGATAATAAAAGGGAGGCATAGAGACTAGTTTTTTAAAATTGAATTAGGCTTTAGTCTGTTTTGTTAGCATTCCGATACCATTGTGATAGTACTATAAACACCAAGATGGGTAAAAGACAGAACTGCGAGAGACCATCCATATCGACAGGAATTTTGTACTCCTTAACAATACCTATACATTTTTTTACTTTGATTCATGAGCGATAAGTCTCAGCTGTTTACACTTCCATTCTCTTATTTGTTTTAGGTTAAATTGAATATCTGCCTAGCACAGCTTCTTGCAGGAAGACTGCACTGCTTTAAGTCTAGGAGACTATGAAAATAATCAGAGGGGACTGTTCACTCTGAATTCTAAACTTGTGCCTTGCCCAGAACAGCTGCGGGAATCGGAAACTTGAATCAATGTTATCGGATGAGTTAGAATCCAAACCAGAGGTAAGCAGGTCAGAACTGGGTTAATTCCTGACTTGGTTTCTGTTTCATGGTCCAACTCTTAAGTTCAGCAGAAGATGTAGTTTGCCATTTAGATAGTAATTCCTTAAAACTGTCTAAACATAGCAGATAATGATAGCACCTCATATATTTAAAATTGCAGAATATTTTCTCTTGTAATCAGACATTATTTTCAGTGGTTTATAATATTGTACAATATTGACTTTTTGGAGATATATTTTAGTTTGAGCAAAGTCTCATCAGCCATTTTTGAATAAAATAACGATGGGTGAGAAAATATATCCTCCCCCCCCCCCTTTTTTTTTTTTAAATCCTTGTACCAATTTCTTTCCCTCCTACCAGAGTGACACTACTAGATTCTGGGGGTTTGGATTATTCCTAAAGTTCCCAAATCTTTGTTGACAGACAGCTGGCTGTTCACATGGTGCTTGTGGCTCCCCTTTCATTCTAGCTGCAAAATTGCATTAAAAGAAACTAAAAAAGCATTACATAGCTTCTTAATGTGACTTTTCCATGCGTTCAATCGCTGTCATTGTCACAGGGATATTATGTGATTGTGAATGGGAAGGGAGGTGTCCCTGAGACTATTTCTCTATTAAGATGTGACAACTTTACGGAAATGTTTGCCTAGCCTTGGATTGTTTGTGGTGGAGGTGGAAGGGGGTCAATTTAATAATGTTTGGGAGAAAGGATTTAAATAAAAAAGCCATTGTGTTGTTTAAGATCATCTCTTTGAGAATGTTTGTAATAAGAGAGATTTGTTATTCTTACCCTTTGCCTCCTGCTTTTATCCTATTGGTTTTGCATACCGGTTTGATATCATTATGCTGGGGAAAACTAAGAGACTCCCTGTTCTAGGAGAGACTTTCTGCTGTTGCTTTTGGTCACGTTTAATGGCCTAATGTTAGTACATGTGGACGGATGGTTTGAGCCAAAGCCACCTTGTAGGGGGAGGAACCTTTTTTTTTTTTTTTTTTTAAACGTATCTCTATATGAGAAGCCAGGCCACATTTCATTATGTTAATATATATTTCATAGCAAGGCAGTTTGCAGTAGGGACTATGGATATAATTTAATATTTCATATTTAATCTTTAAACAACCATCCCAATAACTTTGAATGACTAAGCTATCTAGCAATGTAAGTCTGTTAACCACACCCTGTTGTTGCATCTTGTCTTAATCTAAAAAGTAAGATCTCAGGAGAGGGAATATTTTAATATGTGTTTATAGAGCACTTGGCAAAATGGTCCCCAATTTTGATTGAGGCTTCTGGATGTTACTTGTATTATAACTAATAAGAATTGGTGATCTATTAAATTGGGTTATGGATTCTGGCTCAGTTCATCTTGCGTATGGCCATCTGAGTGCCACACCAATTTAAATTATCTTCATAATATCGTAGGGAGGTAGGGGAACTGAGCACAGATAAGTTAGGGCCTGAAATTTCAAGGGTCCACTAATTTTGGGTATAATATAATGCTCAACTTAAGATGCCTAGGACCTAATTTTTCAGAGGTTTAAAACACTGGCAGCTCCCATTGACTTCATTTGGATTTGTGAGTGCCCATCACTTCTGAAAGTCAAGTCCAGAGTGTGTAATTTTGGGTACACAGGAAATGAGGCACCCACAATAGTGACTACTGTCACAGTTTCAGCATAACTGCACCTGTATTTTCCCCTGCCCCCACTCCAGGAACGGCCAGAATGGTCTTCATCCATCGCCTGTCTCTGGATAGGGATCCATGTCCCATTCCCTCTGACAAAGGGTTTTAAGGCTGCACAGCTCCCTGCCTTACACTGTGATATCCCCAACAAGCCAGTCTGCCTAAAGGCCAGAACCTCGCTTTGCTTTCTCTCTGAGGGCTATGAATATATGTATTGCCAGCAGTTACAAGTTACCACACAGCTCTTTCTAAGCAAGCAATTTTATTCTTAAGATAAAAGCATTATAAAGAAAATGTAATAAAAACGATAAGTAGATTTAAATACACTAACCATATCCGGAGTCGTCCATCAGTCTCCTGGGGCTCAAATAGGCCAAAGACATTCCAACCCTTCCACATTGGTTGGGGCCCCGTTGGACAGAAGGTCCTGTCCATTTGCTGGATCCGAAAGAATTCCACAAGTCAGTTCAAGCTCATTCTTTTATATCAGAAACTTTTTCTTTGCTTCATAATGTCTGGAAAACCCACCCTGAACAAGTATATGCAAACTGCCTAGGGCAGGGGTGGGCAAACTACGGCCCGCGGGCCGGATCCAGCCCCTCAGGGCTTTGGATCCGGCCCGCAGGATTGTCCCCCGTGGCGCGGTGGGCCCCATGCCGCTCTCAGAAGCGGCCAGCATCACTTCCCTGCGGCCCCCAGGCGGAGGGTTCTGTGCATTGCCCTTGCCTCCAGGCACCGCCGCCCGTAGCTCTCATTGGCCGGGAACGGGGAATCATGGCCAATGGGAGCTTTGGGGGAGGTACCTGGAGGTGCGCCGAGGGCAGTGCACGCGGAGCCCTCCGTCCCCCAGGGGCCGTGGCACTTCCTGGAGCGGCACTGACTTCGTGATTAGTTTCTTGTCAAATTTTTGGTTCCTGCTCCAAACCCTTGACACACTAGGGTTATCCAATAATATTTTTTTATATTGACAGCGCTCCCTACTGTTTTACTTCCTACATTCTTGAAAAGGGCTGATCCATTTTCAATTACAAAAAAAAATGTTGTTAAATCAATTTGAGCCAGAGATTAAACATGAAAAATTTTGGATTGAAAGATTAGAGCTTGACAGTGATAAGGGACAGAAAGTGAGGGTTATAATGGCAAGTAATGTGCACCCTTAATAATAGCCTAGCTCACTAAAGGTAGTAATGATGTCTATCTTATTGAATTTCTAAAGAAAAATCAAGATTATCAATCTCATGAAATAATTGGGGATGTCATCCATCAATGGTAATATTTTCAATTATGGGCTCAATCCAGCTCCCATTGAAGTAAGTGGGAAGACTTTCATTGACTTCAAGGAATGTTGGATTGGGTTCTGTGTGTATTACAAGGTAGAGGAAGCCTAACTCAATGTCTTTTGTTATCTCATTGGAACCTTGTGCTATAAACTGGTTTGCTCACTGCTGAATCCTATTTTCAAGATCCTCTCTTTTTCAGCTGCTGGTTCAGTTTGTTCAGAACACCTCTATTCCACTGGGGCGGGGGCTGGTGGAATCAGAACCTAAAGGCATCACCTGTCTCTCCCTCCTTCCTGTTACTGAGACCTCAGAATGCAACAGACTGATGTTGCCAGGTAAAATCTATGGTACAGGTTTGTGTGGGAGTGCTATTTATATAGCTGTCTCTACTGTGCCACTACAGCATGTTCTCCCTACCTCTTGCTGAAAAGGGATCCTGGTGGTGGAGGGATAGGTTCAGAAGAGTTATTAGGACTTTTTCATTAATGGTGGAGCTTTGCTACTTAGAGGTCTGTGATCTCATTCTCTTCACTAGATGATTCTCCAAGTCACACTAACGCCTCCAAAGATGTTCCTTCATCTGCTGTCTTGAGAAGCCTTCAGGTAAATGTAGGCCCTGACGGCGAGGAGACAAGGGCACAAACTGTACAGAAACCACCTGAGCTCCTGTCAAGTCCAGAACCTTCCAGTTTATTGCAAGACCTCCAGCCCAGTGACAGCACCTCCTTTATTCTCCTCAACCTAACAAGAGCAGGTAATTCCCCTTCCTGTTGTCGTCATCTGGCTGGATTTGTTTCAGACAGTAGAATGCAGAAGATACAAATGTATCTTTGTCCCAGCTGCTTATAATGGGGAAATATGAAATTTTCTGGGTGTTAGTGGATATTATTCAGGAACATGTAACAATCAGCAGCTTCCTACAATACAGAGGTCTGTGGAGACTTAGTGCAGATATTATGTCTGTATCATGGATATTAGACTCTGAGAAGCAAGAGAGTCCCCTCTCATTTACTATCTTTCTGTCTCATGGAGCTGCTTCTCTTCCAGGCCTGGGCTGTCCAGCAGAGCACCTTGTGTTCGTTCAGGATGAAGCAGAGGATTCTGGGAATGACTTTCTCTCCCATGACAGCACGGACAGCAGTACCCCATGGTTTCTACGAGTGCAGGAATTGGCCCATGACAGTTTGATTGCTGCCACTCGAGCACAGCTCGCAAAGAACGCCAAAGCAAGCAATAATGGTAGGCGATGTGCTGTTACTATCTTAAAGATTTAACCTTCTGTGAAAGGCAACTGGCTGTAGCTTTAGATGTTTATCCTATCTGATTGCAGGATAGTTTCTAAATAGACAAAATCATTATAGAGGCATTGTTAGCATCTCTATAGTTAAGGCTGTATTGAGGTTTTCTGTTAAAGCCAGGTTTCAGTATTTCTTAGGGCTGAAAACATACAGATTTAATTTTCTAAGAAAATATGTTCAGTAGTTAGAGTTCAAAGGGGTTCTTCAACTGTAATACCTCCCCCGAAGGTATCTCCCCAAAATCTTCTGTGGTGAAGAGTGATGCAAGACAATCATTTAATTTCTTTGCCATGTTCTTACCTCCTTAATTGCTTCCTTCGTTCCTTGGTAATCCAGTTGACCCACCAATTCTCTTGCAGGCTTCCTGCTTCTGATCTGCTTAAAGAATCTTTTGTTGTTTCTTTTTGTCTACAGCTGTTTGCTCTTCAAACTACCTTTTAATCCTCATATTGTCCATTTTTCATATTGCCTGCTTTATTTTATGTGCCTTTCTAGTGGCTTACCTAGGTTTGGTATTCAGTTTTCCGAGGGATACCTGTTTGAACTATTAATTATATTGTGATCACTTAATGGCTCAACTACAATTATATCTTGAAATAATTAAGTCAATTAAGTCCTCTTCTGTGCTCTAGAATTAGCTGTTCCAAGAAGTCATCATTTAAGGTGTTGAGAAATTGCTTATCCTGACTGAATCCAGAGGTGACATTTGACTATTTAATATTTGAATAGTTGAAGTAACCTAATATTACTATTTAGTTGATATTTATGGCCTCTGATCTCTCAGCATTACACACTCCCTATCATTATTCTGATCTGGAGGCAGCTGATATGATATGGTATCTTGCTGGGAATAGTTTATAGACCTGGAAGGTAGGTAGATATGTATGTGGTCCCTGCACTGGGCTGGGTAGCAATATCTAGTTTGTAGGACTAGCTAAATACATGATAACCAGGAAGACATCTGGTTTATAGGCCTAGATTATACTAGGGGTTATCCTGTCTCTTTCCTCCAGTAATCCATCTCCTCTGTGGACTTTGACAGTGTTTTCTGTTCTGTTCTAGGTGAAAGTGTTCATCTTTGCTCAGGAGATGGGCAGCCAAAAGATTCCAGCCCCATCCCTCACCTGTCCCGCGTAGAGAAGAAGCTGAAGTGCACAGTTGAGGGCTGTGATCGGACATTTGTGTGGCCAGCCCACTTCAAATATCATTTAAAAACTCACAGGTGAGTAGAGCAGAGATCTCTGCTATTGTGACCTTGCAGAAATTCCTGGTCTTTATACAAAACATCGTTATTAATTCCCATTGTGTAAAATCTTTCTTCAAAGCTGAAGGGCAACAGGAAACTCAAAATTGAGTAAAACCCAGATTTAGCTGCTGAATGGTCTCACTAACAAGGGTTATGGTCAGCACACCTGCTGCACGCTCTCAGCCTGGCTGGGAGGGAATACAGTGCAGAAAAAAAATTATTTTGAAAATTCCCTTTGTCCTCCATGAAATGCACTCTGGCTTAGGGAAAGTTGACATCTTTACAAAAAAAAACTCCTAGTTCATAGAAAACACTGTTATTAATGTAAACTTGAAAATGAAATAAAAAAGTGCTGCTGAATAGGTTGGAACTGGCCCAAGTATTTCTGGAAAAATATTGATTTTTGGTGGAAGGGAACACACAAGGAAAACGGGCTGCATATTGCAGCCCAATCTCAAAGTCAGGAAAACAGGATTGTTGGATTTTGAGCCTCCTCACCATGGCACTGTTTCTCTTATATTCACACCTATCCCAAGAAAGACAAGACTCGGGCATTCATATTAACTTAACAAAATAGAGAAATTGAAAGGAGTAGTAACTGTTTGCCTATCTCTAAATTTGGCTCTCCCCTCAGAAACTAGAGCAGTGTGAATGTATGTGTTAGATTAATCTATATGCCACATAAATTGAAAAAGGTAAGCCAGATTTAGGCTCTTCCTGCTGGTCGTTAATAATATTTTAAAGTGGAGCTATCCTTTAATCTAAAATATCCTGTGTGTTGGACAATGTTAACTCAGCTTCCCCATCTCATGTACATGTAGCACTCCTATCCCACTCCCAGCTATAGTAAGGGTGTTGCTACACTGGTATATAGGGGAATGTTATCACATCTGTGCATTTTGTTGCCTTGCACAAGGTCATCTATCCCGAACAAAGTTGAGGTTGCAAAAAACCTGTGATATAAGCCAAAGAAGCTTAGATTTATTTTCTGTTTTCTTTTTCCAATAGATTTTACAACTTCTGACTATGTGGTAGAAGCTCCTTGATGAGTAATCTAGTTAAATACAGATTTAAGCCACTTACCTGGTTAGGTCACTTAATTTCCTTGTACCTCAATTCATTTCAGTTGAAAAGCGAGTAAAAGGTAGAAACCTTATTTAAAAAACAGGTGTGGCAACAGAGTTGAATGTCCCTGAGAAAATATATTGTTTCGTAACCCGTTGCTGTAGTTCTTTTGTTGCCTCTCAGGAATGATCGTTCCTTCACCTGCCCAGCAGAAGGCTGTGGGAAAAGCTTCTATGTCCTGCAAAGGCTGAAGGTGCACATGCGAACTCACAATGGTGAGAAACCATTTGTCTGCACTGAGGTGGGCTGTGGGAAGCAGTTCACAACGGCTGGGAATCTGAAGAACCACCTGCGGATTCACACTGGTGCGTTTAAATCTCAGATCTTCTTTATTCAGGAAACACTCCCCAAGAAATGGTCCAGGGAGAGCAGTGTCCATATGCACCTTCACTGGTGTCCTCAGCTTCCAATTTACAATTATTTATCAATGTGATTAACCAGCTGTTTACTTGTGCAGTACCCTACATAATTCCTCTCTCTTCTTGGAGTTTACACCCTTCAGATGCTGTATAGTTTTATCATGTTCCTCTTTTAGTTGTCACTTAGCCAAACTATGTTTTCCCTCCTAAATCAGTCCCAGGACCTTTTTAAATTCTCAGAAGACTGTGCTTCCCAGGTGAATGATAACTGAAAACTGGCTTTTAAGGGTTTTTGGAGAAGTCATTCTAAATTCTTATGAGTGAAGAGGCAAAATAGGTTGAGATACTTGTGCAAAGTGAGTCCTGACCTAGCTGCATGTCCTTGCTGCTGGGAGTTTAGATATACAGTCCAAACTGGACTAGTGCCTGATTCAAGCGGTGGCATATATTTGCTTTGGTATAAATTAAATGAGACCTAAAAATAAAAGCTGATAGAATCTAGATTAATTTGAATTTAGCTCCCTCATTACCTGTGCTACTTGTAAAATAAAATATAAATATGTTGAGAAATGTTTACAGAGGCAATGTGTAGAGAGAGGAGAGGATCAAAAACCATAGCTGAACTGTCTAATAGAAAGAAGCAATGATAATGTTTAGTACAGCATTCTGATGATTAAAGTGCTCCACAAATGCTAATGCTAACCAAGGTGTACAGCTACATGCTTGGCCCTCAGCATCCAACTGGACCTGAATTCTATGACAATTAAATTTAAAATAAAAAATGAAGGTTTCTCATAAATATAAAAATGAATAATTCAATCATACTGTAGCCTCTGTTTGTTGTAATATACATTACATTTATTTTTAAGTGGCCACACATTTTCAGTTCTTAATATGCTGCAGATTTTTACATTGACAATACAGAGCTGTATCATAGAAATTGGGGGACTAGCTGAAGATCTTGGCAGCTAGGTAGTGGGAATTTGGGGCTTTATATTCCTAGAAAGGTGCGGGGAGGCAGTGTGTAATTGAGATAATATGCTTATCTGGATGTGTCTGCTAAAATGTTCAATAGTTGAATAGTCCCCAACATTGACATTTAAACTAAAATCTTTAGGTTTCAGTGTTAACAATAGACTGAAATGTATGGGGCAGTCTGTATGTCTGAGAATATTGTTTGAGACTGGAGACTCAGGAAGACAACACTGCATCAGTTCTTATTCGGTTAATGTTTTAAAATTATTTTCACAACTACAAAGGCTGAAAACATCTTTATTAAAATGAAAGCTCAGATTTTGAGTAGTTCCACAAACACTTCTGCAGCACAGAACATACATGCTCCACTCTCGTGTTTTATTTATATTGCACCAGTGTGCTATGTGCTTTGTAGATGTCTATGAAGACAAGATCCGTGCTTTGAAGAGTTTACAGTCTAACTAGAGAATATACAGTTGAAGGATGGGAGCTGGGATGTAATGGAAAGTGATATATCTGAATAGTGAAGTTTTGCATATGTAGTGATAGTGTGTTTGTGGTTGTCTTTGGATTCAGTTTTCTACTTTGTTAATCTTTTTCTGCAGGGAGGGCTAAGCTTTGTTGGCCCTGGTGTCGCGTATACTGTGGCTTCAGAACCCTGCAGAAAGTAGCATATCTAAACTAAAAAATGTCTCAGACCAGTTGTTCCCAAATATGAGTGGCTAGCAATAAGTGGCAAATATTTGCTTTGGTATAAATTAAATGAGACTTAAGGAAGTTGGGGGAACCATCCTCATGTACCAGACATGAAGACAGTTCCAAGTTGTGGTTGTGTTCAAACAAACCCACCATCTATTTCTATAGATGAAACTATATGCTGAGCCACTGATTGGGTGTCATCAGTAATAATTTTTCTTCCTAATATTTCTATCTTGAGGAAGATTGCAAAGTTACATAAGTGGCTGATGAGAACCTTATGCTCTCTCTCACTACCACAGCACCGGTCAGAACATGTTACATGAATCCCTTTCATTCAGATATATCAAATACCCCAATAGCTATTAAGCCAAGCAATAAATTGCATGGGAGAAGAGTTAGACAGAGGAAACCACATTAAATACGTAAGCACTCTTTTCACTGATTTACAAAATTACTGGATGAAGGGTATGTGATAGATATAATATACATGGATTTTTTTAATATCATCTGACACAATGTCTCATTAGTCTTGTGTGGAGTATTTCAAATGGCCTTGGCAGTGACTGACGCATAGCATGAAATCTGACTGTAGGGCTGTGATTAAGGGGTAATAATAAGCAGCAGTGTACTGAGTTGTGAGCAGCTCTCTAATGGATGCTGCAGGCATCTATTTGCCCTAATTTTATTTAACATCCTCGTTAGTGACCTTGAAGAGGGTTAAGAACAGGTTAATGAAATTCATAGATGATTATAAATTGGAAGATGAGAACACCGATGAGGTTGGAGAAATACAAAGGGATCTATAAAGATTAGACATATGAGAAGGAAATAGTAATGAGATTCAGCCTAGGAATATGAAAACAAATCCATCTGGGGATTAATAAGCCCAAACACAGATATTCTGTGGGAGGCAGAAAACTAGGAAGCAGTAATAGCTGAAAGAGATCTAAGAGATGATATTAATCAGAAAATTCAGCTATGGATTTGAAATATTGTATGGCAACAAATGAAGCCCATGTGATTTTAGAGCTGCATAGAGATAAGCATGACATCTCAGAGCAGCCAGGGTTGTAGTCCGTTTCTATGTAGTTCTTATGGAACCACACCTGAAATATTTTGTTGTTTTCTGGGCACATAAATACTGGAAAGATGTTTTTAGAAACAGATGGACAAGCTGAGCCCTGATTGACTTCTTTTTGTGAGTCATAGGCTGGAAATGCTATGGAAGAGTCACATTCAGCCTAGAGGAGGAGGAGTTTCAGCACAGAAGAGGTTGCATGAAATAAATTCATAAGGAGTCTGCCTTTTGGTGAACTTTGGTAGCTGTAATGTAAGGCCAAGGGGGAGGAATGAATGTAAATCAGGGATGTTACAAGAGGTTGGAAGATAAAATGAAGTAAAGGTCTTAATGTCTAAGAACATGTGTTTCATCCAATACAGGGGAAAAGCCCTTCCTGTGTGAGGCACAAGGATGTGGTCGTTCCTTTGCTGAATACTCCAGCCTTCGGAAACACCTGGTTGTCCACTCAGGTAGGGTAGACGAGGCCTATATGCTACATGCAGTATTTTCAGTAGAAAATCCCCTATTTTCTGTGGAACTGTTCTTCATGGTTATTTTTTTTTTTTTTTTTTTAAGTTTACTCCCTTCATGGACAGCATGTGCTCTACCTGGTACCTGTCCTGTCCTGGATCTTGTGATCTCCACCGACTGCCAGTCTCTGTCTTTATAGGATCATAGAACCGTAGGCCTGGAAGGGACTTTGAGAGGTCATATAGTTCAGTCCTGTGTACTAAGGCAGGACCAAGTCTACTTAGACTATCCCTGATAGGTGTTTGTCTAACCTGTTTTTAAAAACCTCCAATGACAGGGATTCCACAACCTTCCTTAGAAACCTATGCCAGTGCTTAACTACCCTTATGATTAGAAAGTAATTCTAATATCTAAGTTAAATCTCCCCTTGCAGCAGATTAAGCTGATTACTTCTTGTCCTTTAAGTGGACATGGAGAACAGTTGATCGCAGTCTTCTTTATAACGGTCCTGAATGTATTTGAAGACTATCAGGTTCTCTGTTTTCTTTTCTCTAGATTAAACCTATCCATTTTGTTTTTTAACCTCTCATAAGTCAGGTTTCCTAAACCTTTTATCTTTTAATTTCTCTCCTCTGGACTCTCTCCTGTTTGTCCACATCTTTCTTAGAGTGTGGTGTCTACAGCTGGACATAGTACTCTAGCTGAGGCCTCATCAGTAGGACAATAGGCTCCCATATCTCACATATGACATTCCTGTTAATATACCCCAGAATATTAGCCCCTTTTGCAGCTGCATAACATTGTTGGCTCTTATGGAATTTGTAGGGTTACCATATTTCTACAAGCAAAAAAGAGGACACTGGAGGGGGAGGAGCCCCGCCCCTGCCCCACCCCCATCCACTCCCTCCCACTTCCCACCCCCTGATTGCCCCCCTCAGAACCCCCAACCCCCCACTCCTTGTCCCCTGACTGCCCCCTCCTGAGAATGCCCTAC